AATGAGACAAGACTGTTGGCCCGAAAAGCTGAGAGCAGCTGGCTATCTCTTCACTGCACTTTAGCCCACTTTAGGTTGATGCTTCCAGGGCAATAGGGTCTTCAAATATCTCACTCCCTCCTTCACGCTACTCCCCACACTCTTACGACAAAGCCAAACTATTTCCTTGGAATTTTCTCTGATAGAAGGGGGATGAGAGTAAACCTTGAAATCTTTAAATTACTTTATTCATTTACCTTTCCTGTAAAATCACATCAGTACCTGTCTACCATGGAATGGAGGCAGACAATAAGCTAAGACAATATGAGCTCAATGTGATGGCTATTTGGAACTCTTAAGAAGCAGGCAGAATATTGCTTGTAGGGAGAGTGTGACTTCCTGTTGAGAGTGAGAGACAGAGACAGAGAAAATTCTTTTATAACTTTTATAGAGGCTTTTTAAATATATAAACACGAATACTTGAATAGACTAATCTGCAATGAGGCCTAAGTTGGTAGATCGAAAAAAGAACAAAAGTGGAGTGAACTTACACCAGAGGCCCTAGAAGGTGGGAAGTGTAAATAAGACGTGAGTGGAGAAAAAATGGTAAGAAAGACGAACCGAATGAAGGAAAAGAATCTAGGAAAAATCAGTTTTGGAAGAAAGGTGTTGGAACCATGTGTGTGCCATCTTACTGGGTGGAGAGCTGCTAGCGTGTGGATTGGAGCTGGGAGTCCATCACTTTGGGCCCCAATTAAAGGGAGCAATATAGTAAGGACGGGTCAGTCAAACTGTTTCAGGTGGGCCTCACCCAAAACTTTAACAAATCCTCAAGTATGGGGCCATGGGGTTCTGTTCTGCAGTTTCAGAAACTCAACTTTCTTGATTCATCCATAAGTAGAGAGTCTGAGGACTCGGTTCCACCAAAACCCACAAGAGACTATGTAAGTTTGAATCCCACTACCTGACAATTCACCCAGTGACAGTAGAGGGCAGCCCTGCCCAGTGAAAACCAAATTCAGATGAGAAGACAGTTCATCTAGGCAGTGGGGTTTTGGACGAACTTTCTTTTGTTATTTTTCTACATTTTACAAGAGTTATAGAATGAGCATATATCACTTACATGATTAGAAAAAATGTTATTTGAAAATAAGATATTTATTCTTTAACTTTCTGTCAAATGGTACAGAAAATTATATATATTTTCCATATGGCAAAATATTATTCATTGTATCATCTCAATGGAAGGAATGTGAGTCTTCTTGGTACTAATCTCTCAACTTCTCTATGGGTTTGAAATTTTTCTTAATAAAAACTTGGAGAATATTTTGAATATAAGATTGAAAAAAGTTTTGGGAGTAAAAAGGAATAAACTTATTCCAACTATTATAAACTAATAGATTTTACCTTATTGTACTTGGTTAAAAAAAAATTCATTTTTAATGAAACTGTCAGGACTCTGGTTGTGTCTGTCCATATATATATATATGTGTACGTCTATCTCCGGAGGAAATTATTGCAAGTAGTTTATATAATGAGCCCTGTTTAATTGGCTTAAAGATATATTAAGTGCTTACATAAATTAAGAAATATAACAGAAACTAACCCAAATGTTTTTCAGGATCACATGATCTGGGAAATTATTTAATAGTAAAGCTAATTTAAGTTTTACATTTAATTAAAACAGACATGTCTTTAAAATTACCAACATTTAATATAACATTTTTACTTTATTTGGGCTTACAAAAAATTCACGATATCTGTTATAGAGTTTGTCAACAGGAAAATATATTTGCCAAAGAACTTACAGTTCTAGAGGTTATAAAATGTATTCATAAATTTGCCAACCTAAAGAATGCTGATTGCTTACTTTTGGTTGTCACTAAAATTAAGATTTCTGAGGATTAAAAATTATAAATAATGTGGAAGGAATTGATATGTTTTAAATAAAAGATGGTATACAAATATGAGATATATTTTCATTATAGAAAATAAAAATAATTTTGTCCTGGTTATTTCAGAATAGAGAGAGAATTTTACTTCTTATAATTAAGCTAGCTAAAGTTAAATTGTTATTTTTTTAATTAAGCTTTAATATCAATGATATTCTTATGTAAAGCTAAAGCTTTTTTTTCTTCTAAAAGGATAAAATTTCCTTTGCTATTGGTATGCTCTTAATAAGAAATTACAAGGGAAAACAAAGATTTTATGTTTTATTTAAATGATTTCCTGTGCTCTTTATCATCAGGTCTTTAACTGCTTAAGTATACGGAGTCTTCTTCCTATTAAAAGAGCTAAATTTTTCTTACAACTATTTAAATTTCTGTATTTGCCTAACAGTCTTTCACTGTCATCATAATTAAATGATTAACTTTTGTTCCTCAATGACCTATAATTTTATTTGAGCAAATGTTTTTAAACTCTTGATATGTTTGACAGGTTTCTCAAGATTCAAAAATTAGTCTTTTTCTTGACCTTCAAGATTTTTTAAATCTTTCGAGTTTGTCAGAAGGATTCCTGAAACACCTCAAAGAAACTATCAAAGGGGGAAATTAAACTAATTAGGCTTAGTTAGTATGTTAAATTACATGGGAAGCATTGTCAAATAAATTATGTTAAATCTTCTATCGCATTTATATAGATATAAATGCAAAAAATTTACAGTCTCTCTCTGAAAATTGTAAATCCTATCATGTCTTCGAAATGTAAACACCTAAAACATTGCCTACAGAAACTAAAGAAAAAAAAAATGGCCTTTTAAAAATACAAACTGCTGTGTAAGTTTCCTTACCAAAAGTAATTTGTAAAACAGCTATTGCTTTTACAAAGCCACTCGAAAATAATGAGAAAGCAAAATGTATATGAAAAATAGGAAGTACGTTTTCGGTGGAAAGAAGTATGAAACATAGGACTGAAGGCTCAAGGGGGCCTGGCCTGAGACTTCACCCAATAAATTAGTCCACACCTGGGGTGACTCATCCCACAAATGAGCTCTCACTAGAATGACCATGCTGAGAGAAGGGCAAAGGCCAAGAGACTCGTGAGTAGAAGGAAGATGGGAACAGCGGTTTTCAGGAAACAAGAGCAAGAGGATAATGGCAGGAAATGGAGGAGGAAGGACCGTGGGTCTGGGCAGAGGCCAAGGGCAAGGCAAAGGAGTGCTAGGCTGGCCCAAGCTGCTGCTGGGCCTACAAACAGAGCAGGGCCCTGCTAGGTCTCCTGTCGGCAGCTGAGATCCCACATACCACATGGACCCTCTACCTGTGGGGACTTGCCACTTGTGCAAGCTGTGCCAGCTAGTGAGTGGCATTTCCGCCAGGGGCCTCCTGGCCTGGGAGCTGGATGAGCTGGGTAAGCTCTTTGGAACTGTCTTTAAATCTTCGAACTCAAGGTTAACAGAAGTCTGCAGCATTTAATGCCACAGCACCTTTCCATTTGGTATTGCCACTTGCTTTACTGCCACGGGAAGCTTGTGGTTTTTCAGGGGCTGCAGCCATGAACATAGGACCCACACCTGAGGATGCTTTGATATGATGAGTGTGGCCTCTCCAGGATCCACGTCAAAAGGAAGGGAGACAGGGCACAGAGACCCCTGAAAGGGCTCCTCCTCCAGGAGGAACTTGAGAAAATAGGTGTCTTCTAGGAGTGGTTCCTTCTCTGCCAGCTCTCTGGGGGGTGCCCCCAGCCCCCACCCCCACAGACCACCTGCCCTTCACCTAGACTAGCCCCACCCACAACTTGGGGCCTGAGGAAGGGGCGACTGGAGTCTGAGGAAGGCTGAGGAGGCAGCCTTTGAAGGCAGCGGAGGATAGAAAGGGGCAGCCCAGCATTAGGTCATGGTCAACGGCATGAGTTCCATTCAGATCCCTGCTCCAACCCAACCAGGTGTGTCACCTTGGGCAAGGGAACCACTGTGTCCGTGTCCTCACCTGTAAAATAGGAGTAACACTTACTACCCACAATTGCTTTGAGGATATGAGTTAATATTAATTGTGGAGCACCCAGAATGTACTTGGTGAGCAACTGTTAAATCAACTTAGACCTGCTAAGACCAAGGAGTCTGGCAGCCAGACTACTGCTGGCCCAGTGGTGTCAGGTGGGACCCAGTGCCTCACTGGGCCTCTTTTCCCATCCACAAATCATGGATGATGAACCATCTCCCTACTCCAAAGTAAGGTTAAATAATTCACCTAGGAGCAAGTAGGAAGACAAAACTAGCTCCACAAAACTCTAAAAAACTAAAATGACTGTGAGGCTGGTTCCCTTAGCACAGTGGGAATTCTTGATCCCAGGAAGAGGCCAGAGCTGCTCCCTCAGTGACCAGGTGATCCCAGCCCCTTTGACAGCTGACCCACCTGGTGGGAAGTTCCGGAATGGTTTCTGTCAACAAAATCGACTAGCCTGGGGTTTTCAAACCCACTAATGAAATCAAGGTGGTAGGTCATGAGCAGCATTAAAAAAAAAATTGGTGGCAAATAGAAACTCTCAGGATGCATTTCACATTATATGGGTAGTTTCAGGAAACGTTTGCCAGTCTGTGTGTTTTCTGAGTGGGAGTGTAAATGACATTCTCACTGAGGTCCTGGTAATGACGCTAAGTGCCACTGCCACAGCATACCTGGGTATCAGCTCAGCATCCTAGAGCTGGTCCTGGAAGGTGCCCAGAAGTGCTGCCCGAGCCAGCAGAGGGCGCCCCACACAGTTCATTTCCAGAGGGACTGATCATGGTTCTCCCGGCTCACAGCAAACCCAAGCCCACTGAGGCCTGCAGCCCACTTCCAGAGAAGATTGGCAGTAGGGGAGTGTAGTCTTGAACCTTGTCCACCTTCAAGCCCAGGCTTTATTTCACACCAGGCCCCTCTTCAGCTACCCCTCTCCACTCTCTCCTTCTGGTCATCTGCTTTCCTTCCTCCAACCGATCCTCTTCCTCTTGCTTCTACCTTTAGTCCTCTCCCTCCTCTTTTCCTTTCTTTCTCCACTGTCTCCTTTTCCACCTCCTCCTCCCTTTCCAGGACACATACACACCACAATGTTTTTCAGATAATTCAGCCTTTTATTTTTGAAAATAATTCTGTAGCTTCAGTTTTCTTCCATTAACTGAGGTCAGGCAAGAAATGAAAACACACGCATTGCTCTCCAACCCATCATCTGCATCCTAATCTGAGCAGATATGGAGGTGTTTGGGGGAGAGGGAGGATGGCCGGGGCCATCCTGTCCTGGCTGCTCTACCTCACAACTGAGGGGGCCCCAGAAGCCAAGGTCTCAGAGAGGAAGGAACCTGTGCACCAAAGCCTGGGAAAAAATGGACAGAAGGAGCCAATCTCTCTTCCACCTAGCCAACACAGAGCCCTCCTAGCGTGACAGAGAAGGGATCAGCTTTTAGATAGGACGAGATCAGGGTCGGAATCTGTTTCTTTGAGGAAGGAATGAGGGAGGGGTGCCCCAGCACACCAAGACCCCCTCCCTTTCACCCCATTGCCAGGGATGAGCTGAGGAGAAGTCTTGCTTTTCCCCTTCTACTTTCACCTTAGAGTCATGATTTGCTAGGTTACAGGGAAAGGAGAGCTATAAGGAAGTCAGGGATGAGAAGTGGGAGAAACAAGGCAGGGGGCCTAACCCTGACAACATAACAGCTCCACCCAGACCCTGACGATAAAACCCCTTTGGTTAGTCTCATTTTGGCCACAAATACGTTCCCTTCTCACATAACCCAGCTTCCCCTCCAAATGGGGAAAGTGGGGAAGGAGGACAAATGCAGGAGGAGGGCTTGCACCCCAGCTGGAAGAGCCAGGACAGGGAAGCGAGGCCTAGGGAAGAGCTAAAGCTGCCCACCTCTCCTAGGATGCCCCAGGAGAAAACCTGGCGCGTGGATGTTTGTGGCTCCAACAAGCCCAAGTTTCTCCCTACCACACAGTGGTTTTCTGCTTAACACCCCAACATACCCCAGAAAGGTTCCCCTGATTCGACTCCCTTGAGAATGGGAGAATAATCATCTTATCTTCTGTGCACTCGAATGCCACTCAGAAAAAAAAAAAAGAAAAAATTAAAGAAAAAGAAAAAAGATAAATGGACCCCAAAGGAAAACAGAGGACAATGCAGCCCAAGACCCGCAGTCCTCTCAGCCCATGACACGGCAAGGAGGGGACCCAGGAGGGGCAGGCAGGCGCAGCTAATTCCAGCTAGGATCATAGCCGTCCCAAGTCTGCGGGGGCGCCAGGTGGACGCGGCGGCCGCGAAACAGAAAGCTGACGATGCCCCTGTAGCCGGCCCTGGGGACTCCCGACTTGAGGTCGTCCATGACTCCCAGGGCCTTGGCAAAGGCTTTGAAGCTGTCCCTGCCCGTGTACTGCACCCGCACCTCCCCCAGGTCATTCCGCTCACTGGTCCTCACTTTCTCCACCTGCAGCAGGGGCGCACCGTAGACACGTGCAAGGAAGTCCCGGTCGTAGGCCTCCCGCTGCAGGTAGGACAGGTCCAGCTGGGTGAAGGGCACGAAGTGCTGGTTCAGCTTGATGAACTTGAGGTGCTGGTCAAAGAACTGCCCGTGGCTCACGCCCTTGCGGCCGAAGGTCATCGTTCTGGAGATCTCGGGCCGTAGGCAGGCCCGGCCCTGCCGCTGCTCGGGCCGCCGCATCCAGTCGTCCCAGAAGGCCTTGGGCCACTTGGGCTCCAGCTCGGCCCACAGCTCGGCCAACAGCAGCCAGCCCAGGCCAGGGAAGAAGTCGGTGCGGTAGAGCAGCTCGGGCCTGCTCGAGTCCACCATCTGCTCCTTGCCGTTGTCATTCCAGGCTGACACACACCAGAGGGAGGGGTCCGCCCTCAGCAGCGGGTACGTGGCCTGGAAATACTCGAAGAAGTCTGGGGCCACCTCCAGGTCGTCCTCCACCACCACGGCGGCGGGGAATTTGAACCTGTGGAAGACCTGGCCCAGCGCCCAGCGGTAGTGGCGCGCGATGCGGTAGTAGCCCTGGAACTTGCGGTGGTCCGGCGGCACGGCAATGGCGCTCAGGTCCGGCTGGCGGATGTGCGTGACTGCGGGGCCGTAGGAGGCGATGACCTGAGCCGTCTCTTCGTGCCCGCAGTCCTGGCTGACGATGATGGGGAAGCGGTCAGCCGATGGCCGATAGTGCAGCAGCTTGTCCAGGCAGCGCCGGACAGTGCTGCGGTCGCAGGCGATGACCAGGATGGGGATCACGGCTGGCGGCGAAGTCGCTGGCCCACGTGGAGGCACGGGCGGGACCGCAGTGGGCACCCTCCGCCCTCGGCCCCACCTCACACGGTGCTTCTTGATTTGCTCCAAAAGCCTGCGCTGCCGCTCCAGCTCCACCTCGGCGTCCTGGGCCAGGCGCATCACCTCGCGGGTAAGCCCTGCAGGGTCGTCATCCAGGGCGCTGTCTGAAGGCAGCCGGCCGGGCCCCGAGCGCGACCAGAAGAAGAGGAGCAGCAGGACGTTCCAGGCCACGAAAAGGATGGCGCCCCACAGCACAAGCCCTGCGGACTGCTTCTTCAGCATCCTGGCCCCCGCGGGGGAGGCACGAGGGGGCCCCAAGCTGCCCTGGCTTCCCAGGCTCACTCCCCACAGTTCTAGGGATGTGTCCTCTGGGCTCTGGGATCAGAGAGCCGTCATGCACCTGAGGGGAGGACAGAAAAAAGCAGCCATCATTACAGCGGAATGGGGCCCCGGGGTGAAGGAAGAGAGGGTGGGATTCTAGGAACAGGTAAAAGAGCTAGAAGGGAGGTCTGGGAGGCTGTCTTGGAAAGGGGCAGCTGGTCCCCTAACCTGGGCAGCCATCTGAGTGGGAGAATAGAGCCAGGACAACATGCTCCCCACTCCAAAGTGAGTTCCGAGTCCTCAGAAAAGCAGCATGTGTTTGAAGGGGAAGGAGCATGACGTCCCTGGAAGAGAAAGAGGGTGAGCCCATCTGCCTTCCACTCCTCAAATCAAATTGCCCAAAGGTTACTGATTTACACAAATGTCATATCTCAGGGCAAAGCAAGTACCTCCACCACTAAGGAAGCACCAGAGGCATTTCCCTCCCAAGAAGTCAGGGCCAAGATCTACCTGCTATTAACACTCTGTTGGGTAGATCAGTCAATGCACTGAACACAGAACATGACTGAAGGCAGAAGACGTGGAAAAGAAGCAAACTATTTGCTGATGCTGTGAGAATATGCCTAGAAAACTAAAAGAATCAATGATAGAACCAGCCCAACCAAATAACTGAGCAAGGGAGCAGGATATAAAAATTACCATGCAAAAATCAATAGCCTTCATATCCATAAATAATAACTCATTAGAAGAAATAATGGATGAGAAAATATTATTTTCAGAAGCCATGAAATGATAAACTATTTAGGAATAAACAAGAAATATTCAAAACTTATATGAACAAGAGAGTAATTCCTGAAAGACACAAAGAAGACTTAAGATGTTCAGGACAACTCAGCATCGTCAAAAATCTCAATAAAAAGACTTTTTTAGGATAAACTGACACTAAAGTTCACATGAAAAAATAAACATGCAAGAAAATCTGAGAAAAAAATGAAAACAAGCTGAGAGGAGGGACTAGCCTTACCAGATATTAAAACACTGTACGTTACAAAGCCTCTATAATTAAAACTATGTGGTGACAGTATATAAATAAACATGATCCAATGGAATAGAATTTAAACTCTAGAATAAGACCCAACTACAAACAGAAATCTAATGTATGATAAAGGTGATATTTAGAAATCCTGGGGCAAAAATATGGTCTTACTAATAGTGTTATAACAACTATACAGCTACTTGGAAAAAATAGATTAAATTAGGTCTGTACACAAGAATAACTTCCAAGTGGACCAGAGATCTAAACATAAGAAAACTATACAAGTACAGAAGAAAACATGAGTCAATTCCTCTATAACCTATAGGAAAAGCCTTTCTAAATAGGATTCAAAATCCTGATGCAATAATAAAGTGCTTTTGCGTGGCTAAAAACACCATAAGCCAAGTAAAAAGACTAATGACAAACTGGCAGAGAATATTTGCAAACATACTTCACAAAGAGCCAGTACTCTAGTAGACAAAGAACTTTTAAAAAACTGAGAGGAAAAAGCCCAAAAGTCCATGTCTAAAAGACAAGAGCAACATCTGAAACTAATATAATTTAAATAAAAATTTAAAAAGACAAGGGCAATTCACAGAAATGACTAAAATGGTCCTTAGACATATGAAAAGATATTCTACTTCACTCATAATTAAAATGTAAATTAAAACTGTATTTAGGTAACATTTCTTAACCATCAGACAAAAATGCAAAAACTGTCCTTCCAGTCTCTTAACAGTGTCCAATGAGGAACAAACGTGCCTAATTTTGATGACGTCTAATTATCAACGGCTTTTCTTTTATGGACCATACTTTTGGCATCATATCTCAAAAATCTTTCCCTTACCCAAAGTCGCAAAGATTTTTCTGTTTTCTTTTTAATTTTATAATTTTAGGTTTTTCATTTAGGTTTATGATTCATTTTGAGTTAATTTTTGTATATGGTGTGAGGTAGGGAACTAATGTCCCTTACGGCACCTTTGCAGTTTGTCGAAATGCTAAACAGAGTTACCATAAGACATGGCAGGTCTACTCCTAGATATATACCCAAGGGAAATGAAAGCCTATGCCATGCAAAAACCTACATGGAATGTTTATAGCAGCTGTATTCATAATCACTCAAAACTGGAAACAAACCAAAGGTCCATCAACAGGGAATTGGATAAACAAATTGTGATTTATCCACAGAACGGAATAACATTCAGCAATAAAAAGGAAGAAACTGCTGATATACACAACAGGTGGATGAATCTCAAGTAATTATGCAAGATGTGGAAGACCAAAAGAAAGCACAAACACTATGATTCCAGAAAATACAAAGTAATATAAATCTCTAGAAAATACAAAGTAATCTACAGTGGCAGAAAGCAGATTAGTGGTTACCTAGGGATGAGGACGGTGAGTTATAACAAAGGGGCACCTGAAAACTTTGAGCGGGCGGATATATGGCAATAGCTTCATGGGTGTGTACATATGTCCAAACTTATCACATTGTCCATTTTAAATATGTGAAGTTTACTGTATGTCAATTATACTTCAATAAAACTGTTTGTTTTTTTTAAAGACATTATTGGATCAAATGACAAAACTGGAATATAGATAGTAGTTTAAAGGATCACTGTAGCCTGATTGATAGCCACACTATGGTTATTTAAAAGAAGACCCCAATTCTTAGGTAAGACACCGAAGAAATTAGTGGTAGAGGCCATGATAGATGCAGCCTCTCAAGTGGTTCAGAACAAAAATACCGTGTTTCTACTTGGAGAGAGAGCAAATGGAGCAAAAAGTTAACAATGGGTGAATCTGAGTAAAGGGAATATATGTGTCCTTATACCATTTTGATTTTTGCAAATTTCTTGTAAGTTTGAAATTTCTAAATGAAGTTTCTTTAAAATCAAATATGGGGAATGGCCCACAGTTCTGACTAGCTTCATCCATCAACATGGCCCTAGCTGGCAAATTGGTAAGGGCAATGGGACAATCCCTTTGTCCTGCATTGAATTCTTCAATCACTCAATGACATGCATCTCACACCTGCTGTCTACCAGACTCTGGGAAGAGACTGGGACACACACTCAACAAGAAAAAAGCATGGTCCCAGACCCCTCCCTGCTGCCAGACCCCAGTACTTAAAAGGATTTATGACACTCTCCAATTCCTGAACAGCTGCCATTTATGACCACGTGACTCTCCCTGGCCTTCCAGCCTCTGGTCTTGCCCCTTCACACCCCAAACCTTCAGGTATGTGCCCTCCTGTGCCAGGTACTCTGCCAGTTGCCATCTGCCTCACAATCTAGTTTTCTAATCTTAGCCAAAACCTTGGTCCCAGATACTATCTGTGAGCTCCTGGGTTCTCAGGCAGGCAGATGCGGTATCACGGGGGCTGATCCTGAAAGGCCTCTAAGGAGCCTCCTGGGGAGACTCCCCCAGTGCCTGCCAGCAGCACCACCACCACCTGTTATCCTCTCGGAAACCATCCACCCCACAACTCTGCAGCACCAGTCTTCTCAGAAACCTCAAGTCCATTTCCGTTTTCCTGTGTCATTTACTTTCCCTTTTATCAGCAGTTGTGTACCAATCAGGGTTTCCTAGGAGATAGACACAGATTTTTAGTTTCTTCCTCACTCCCCCTGAGGTTGTGGCCAATGGTGGAACTTTCCCTCCAATTTTCTGGCCAGGATACCCCAACTTCCTGCCTCCTGACTGACTGGGCAGGAAAGTCTTCAGGTAAAGGGCTGGGGGAAAGACAAGAGAGACTCCATCAGCCAGAGCGCTGGCTGGAGGAGCAGACTTGTTTGGCTTATCAATGTGCCACCTTACACTGCTGGCAAAACCCGAGGGACCATATCGTCGCCTCCAGATATTGGAACGAGGTGGCCCATACCCAGTACCCTGGAAGACCTCCCCTCCACACTTCTAAGCCATGCAGATCAAAGCAACCTTCTGAAGGCCCCTCAGCAGACTGGATTCTTAGCAACTCTGGAACCATGAGAGTGGCTGGGTGGTCCACAAGAAACAGCCACCCCAGGCCAGCCAGACCTCCATCTTAACCCTTGTTCTCCCACCCATGACACTTCTCTCTATTCTGCAAACAGAACTTGTTCTTCTTGCCAAAAAAGAACACAACCTGCCTATTCCCAGGCCCCAAGGCTTCTCTACATGAGCTCCTCCTGGTCCCGTGATGTTTCCCACTGCTCCCCCATGTGTTCTCTACAGCAAGAGCCTCTGCTGTAAGGAAGTCAGTATTGTACGCACAGTCAGGGTCACATGTGCTCTCCAGTAGCTGCCTGTGCCCTGAGGGACAAACATGCCCAGAAGGCCAGCCTTTTGGCCAGGAGAGGCCACATACTCCTCCAAGAAGCACTGCACTGAGTCCCACCATCAAGAGGGTACTGGAGTAACAGTGGCAAGCCAGACAGCCTGGGGCAATGCTTGCCATCACCCCGGGTTTCTTCACATCTCTGAGACTCAATTTTCTCACCTCTTACATGGAAACCCTAATAGAACACCTCATTGGGATGCACTGAGGACTGGGTGAGATAATCCACACTAAGTATTTAGAACAGTGGCTGGCACATGACAACATAAACACTGGCCAGTCACTTGTCTGTTTCCTCTCTGCTGACTCTTTGCTCTACTCTACTAGCTTCCCTCCAGGAAGCCCATCCCAGGGCCTTTACATGTGCCTGTATGCCTGATCTGCTCTTCTCTGTCTTCTTCACCTGGTATGCTCTGATTCATGCCATCTGCCAGGACACCTTCCCTGATGTCTTAGGATTATATGAGTTTCACTTCCCCTTCACAACCATCAGCAACAGCACCTCTTGCTCAAGATCTGTCAACTCTCTTGGCTACAAGTTACCTGAGGACAGACCAGCTCCTCCAGTGTGCCAAGCTGCTGGGCTGGGACCCTCAACGTTCAAGGAATTTGCCTGTGACCTAAAAACTGGCTTCCGTGTGGATATCATACACCCACAACCCCTTAAGTATAATTCCCACGTCCAAAAAGCTCTGTAAAATAGAAGCTATCTACACTCCTTCGG